CAGCTGCAATACTTCAATGTGTTCCCTTCACCACACAAAAAGAATAACCCCAAAAAGTATATATTTCAAGAAGTGGAGCGATATTAAAGTGATCAGCCCCTTCCCACATGCAACCAAAATTAGGAAATGAAGGAATAATTATACTTATACTCCTCGAAGGATAGCAGTCACACGTTCAAAATCATATGGTACATATAAAAAAGAATTAAAAATAGTGATAGTGCAGATCTGTATGTATGGTGTTTAAATTGCACCTTTATACATAGTGCTAATTAACACATGCACTTTTTATATACTTAATAAATTTAATGGTTGAACAACAATTTATTCACATTAAAACAGTATTAAAAAGTAAAAATATAAAATACAAAACACTCAAAGTAAATTAAAAATGGTAAACAGATAACTGCTTACTAGAATTGATGGTGAGTGCAACGGTATATATTCCCGTGACTCACAAGCACGCTTCCACACACTGGGAGATGTCTCCTGCGGGTTAATCAGGCGAGATTCCGATAGCTGGAGTCCAAATTGCAAGCTGATATGCTATAATGCAATCGCTGTTCAAATCTCCCGGCTTCCACTTGGCTCCTCCCACCTTACGTGCGTGCTGACGTCGTCTACGCGTTTCGCCGTTCTCAGACGGCTTCGTCAGGACATAATGAGGGTTCCTTACTTCGTGTTCCTGAAAGCTTTTATATGGCAAAATGTCTTTCTGATTGGTACACTTTCCATTTGCATATATGTGTACCGCCCAAAGCATGCACGGGCAGTTAGCCTTTGAGTTCATTTAATTGAGCAAGCACTTCATATTACTGATGAAAGGCTGCTTTGTCACAAAAATATCTTTAATAGCTCATATCACAATAATAAAATTTATGGACACATTAAAATATTATAACCAATTAATGCACTATAAAAATACATTATAAAATGTCATTATCAAATAAACAATGTAAACAAATACAATTTAAAATGGAACATGATGAGAATACATATTGTAAATACCTAGTTGTGTGGAGATAGGAAAAGAAAACAAATGTCAGTAACATTCTTATTTGCAAATGTATATTGCCAGTTATATATATTCATAAAAGATACTATAACTATCTCCACTACACATACAATTTAAAGTGACAGTGAAAGTATATATGTAGACACAAAAGTGTTATGTGCAAACTCCATTAGACAAAATTGGATAAAATTGGACTTAGGTCGAGGTGAAGGTGGATACTTGTTACATTCCCTCTATTATAGCAAATTTTGCATGGACTATATATTATTTTATTGAATTTAGAGCTTCTAATTAATTAAAAAAGTGACAGATTTCAAAGTCGTTAAGTCCGTTGGGGATGAGGGTGTTTAATTCAAATATCCACCTCATCTCTGTGCAGCCTAGACTTTGAATAAAATTACCCCCCCCTCCAGTTTTTATTTATCTGTTGGATCCCCATGAATTCCAACAGGGAAGGGTCACAATTGTGAAACTTTTGAAAATGCAGGGATACCTGATGCTGTTATCCAAAAAGTGCATGTGTTAATTAGCACTATGTATAAAGGTGCAATTTAAACACCATACATACAGGCCTGCACTATCACTATTTTTAATTCTTTTTTTTATGTACCATATGATTTTAAATGTGTGACTGCTGTATAATTATTTCTTTATTTCCTAATTTTGGTTGCATGTGGGAAGGGGCTGATCACCTTAATATCGCTCCACTTCTTGAAATATATACTAGGGTGGAAATTGCTGCAAAGTAGCAATTAGGCTTAACAAGCTCCAGGATGGTCTCCGGTTCATGTGGCTGTTCGGTATCCAAACCATATTGTCCAAATACACGAACAGAGACTTTTCAGTGTATATTACAGGGTCCATAGTCTGTGGGCAGGAGGCTGGCAAGCAGGCTCCTCGAGGAGCTTGTGGCAAACTCACTTGAAAAGGGGAGTTTGTCACATTTCTTCCCCCTACCGGGGAGACTATCTAGATCCCAGACCCTGTGATAGTCCGGTGGCCTTTCCCAAAAGGCATAGTTGTCCCGAAGGCCTCCTGCCACAAGTGCCCACTTATACATCCAGGGTCCTGTAGGGAAATGACCCGGCTGCACTTCTCCCCGGTTGTACCAAGTTGTTGCTGGGGATGGAGGGTGCAATTCCCTGCTCCAGGGGGTAATTCTAGCCTCTAGGGAGAGGGACCGGTTGTCCCTTCTCCCCATACTGCCGCTGGGGAGAGACACTCTCCTCTCCCTGGACCTCACCTATGAAGCCAACTGTGCTTGATGGGCAGAGGCCAGTGACACTCTGCCCTGTAGCCAGCCCCTCTGCTGAGGGGACCTGGTGACAGTCCGGCACTGTAATAATTGGGCTTGGTTGGACAGAGGCCAGCTGTGGATGTGATCAGTGGGTATTGCCGCCTCATCCACTACCCCCAGGACCCGGTTGGGCAGCTGCTGCTGAGAGGAGGAATCATCCACCTCCTCTTCCGGTACCTCCAGCTGCCGCTGGGCAGGGGGACCGATTATCCCCTGTCCCTGTATGGTATGCTGCCACTGAGGAGTAGGACCGACTGTCCTCCCTCCCGGTACTTCCAGCTGCTTTGGGATCTGGGCCGGCTGCCCAGCATCCCTGTAGGGCCGGTGGAGAGACCTCGGTCTCATCTCCACCTGCAAGTTGGGGTTCTCCCCAGGACCAGTCTATGAGGTCCCCCTGTAATTAAGAAGAGGGACCAGCTGTCTCCTCTTCCAGCATCTCCGGCTGCCACTGGGGAGAGAGACCGGTTGTCTCCTCTCCCTGTAAGGTAAGCTGCCGCTGGGGAGTAGGACCGGCTGTGGTTCGGGATCCCTGTAGGGCCGGTGGAGAGATCTCAGTCCCATCTCCACCTGCTGACTTGGGGTCTTCCCAGTTCCCAGGACCAGTTGATGAGGTCCCCTACTACTGGAGCTGGTAGCGAAGCAGGGGGTACTTCAGCCAGGTCTTTCCAGCTGAAGGGTTGTAGGTCTGGGTCTGCCACCTAGCTTTCCTGCAGGGTATATTGGGGTCAAACTGAGCAGAGCAGGTGTTGGTAGTCCTGCTCCAGCTCCCACTCCCTTGTCACCAGAGATGTCAGGTGTTGTCTCACCTTTTTAGCTGATGCCCAATCATGCATGTTCTCCCTGTAGTCGTAGATGTCCCAGAATCAGGACTCTCCAGCGCTCCCGAAATCTGGTTCTGCAAAGGCCTCCCACAACAGGCCAGGGCCATTGTAATCCTCACCTTCAGGCCTGTCATGTTCAGCCATCCAGGGGGCATGCCGAACCGTGCACCACCAGTGTACCTGGTATGCGTCATCTAGCCACAGCTCCTTCCATACCAGGCTCTCTAGTTCCATCACCCACTGATCCAGGGGCTGCTCTCCCAAGAGAGGCATACTCATATCTGTAACTGGGGAGACTCTCGCCCCGCCGATGCTGTACACCCTCCAGGGCCTCATGCCAGACATCTTTACGGACTGCACCCCTGGTTCTCCCCAGGACTTATGCAGTCCAGTTCATCCTCCTCCTTGTATAGAAACAATGTCCGGGGACTAGCTGGTTCCATACGGATACTAGCATTGCCCTCAATTATAAATCTATACGATACCGGTGTCTCCAGGATGCTTCTATACTCCTAGGAAGCCATCCAGCCACTGCCACCAAGGTGATGGACTGCCTGGCACCCCAACTGGGTACCTCCACCAATCGCTGCTTCCTAGTAATCCTTGAGTACCATAAGCATTGCACTGGACACCATAACCACCGTAAACCCCACAAACCGCTGCAGCTTGGTTGGGGTCTCTCTGTCCTCCACCCACCCTGGACCCTAGTTCGGTAGTATAAAAAATTAACAAACTACCGAACATATTCAAGAGTCTTACCCTGGAGCTTGTTTCCCTTGTTTATGGCAATGTTTCCACCGAACAGTGTCTTCCTAAGTGTTATAAAACTGAACACAGGTGATCATGGAAGTCCAGCGGTGTTCAGGAGTGTCAGTGTCCGAAAATAGTTCCATGAACTCAACGACGAACACCGCTGCCTGTTTTCATGGGAACAAGATGGCCAACACCTCGTGGTCGTACATAGGAAATGCAGCCACCCAGACGAACAATTAGAACACTGCAGTGGAAATTGCTACAAAGTAGCAATTAGGCTTAACAAGCTCCAGGGTGGTCTCCGGTTCGGGCGGCTGTTCGGTTCCTGAACCATTTAGTCCAAATACACGAACTGAGACTTTTCAGTGTATATTACAGGGCCCATAGTCTGTGGGCAGGAGGCTGGCAAGCAGGCTCCTCCTTTGCAAAAAAAGAAAATGTTTAATTGAAGTAGGCTGTTGTCCATTCCCCTAGAAATAAATCTGAAGTATAGTGAGGACTGCTGAGTAAGTGGTGGCAATGGATTTAAAAGGGTAAGCATGAATTTATTTCAAATAGTAAGTGAATTGTTGACAATATTTGGTGGCAAGCGGGTGCAAATAGCGAGGTACTCATACTAATGACATACTCATACTAATTAGATAATGGAATGAGGATGCACAAATCTTCTAGTCTAAGTCATAAGAGGGAGATGCCCCAGAAACTAGCAACAACATTTGCAACATAGCAGTTACTCTATTTATTCATTAACTATTTATTTATTTATTTTGCTGCATATAAAAATATAACAGGTTGTCTTGCAAAGTCCCAACAGCACATGCAAGTACAAGATAAAACATTTGGTGAGCATTTCAAGGATACTGCACATTGTTTTTAGTATATCATATTCAGGCTAAGCAGGCATGTCTAACGGATTTACTAGAGATAAAACTTGTTAATGGAGAAATTTGCTAGACATGAAGAATAGGAAAAGTAGTAATCCCAAAAAGCCACCAGATAAGTTATCAAGCATCAGGCATATCAGCATAGGCATGCCCAGCCTATTGCATTAGGGTGTGCACCCTAAAGCACAAACACACACGCCGCGTGTATGTGTGTATATATATATGTATATATATATATATGTGTGTGTGTGTGTGTATATATATATATATATATATACATACATACATACACACACACACACACACACACACACACACACAAACATCTCATTTAGCTAAAATAATTTGTAAACTTCCCTGGGAGAAATTATCATTATTATCTGCATATTCTTATCTCTTAAACTTAGCTTTTGCTATCTGTTGCCCCTTTATACTCACTAAATAGGGTTGAGTGTGGCCATTTAGTTGTCCCCATCACAGTAGACTAGATTATTTTGGATCCTTACTAATCATTTTTGAATTCCTCATTCCTCATCTGGCACACTTGTGGGTGGGTCTGGAGCCTCAAGCCAAGAGTGAAATCTACAGCTAGGGAAAACCAGTGCGGAAAACTAAATATTGGGGGGAAACCAGATTTAAGGCGAGGAAGGACCATGATGAGAATGAAATGCTGCAGGAAGGGAGGAGTAATAAACTCAATGATGTACAGACTTGAATTATATGAGCTGTGAAAATGTAAAATAAATATAGTATATGTGGTAAAAACGGCAGAAAAGAAGTTGCCAAGTAAAATAAACTCTTTGCTGGAAATATACAGCGAGATGATTTTTTTAAGTCACATAGTGTTAAAAATAGGTCATATGTTAAAGGCTACGGTCAAGCCCTCTGTGACATTCCAGCTGTTACCGTCTAAAGCCGCTGGAAAAGCTATGGGTAGACTTAGCACAGACTGGGCATTGCAATACTCTAGGGATTCAACCAATCATAACACATTACAGCTACAATATAGTGTCATCAGACTCCTCCCACTTCCTCTTTCTTTGCTGCTTGCCTCCCAGGTGAGTCTATTCCAATTATATTGCCTTAATGGTTTAGGCTAATTATATATTTTATTTATATTTTTTTGTTATACTTGTACATTTATATTCTTATCTCAGCAAACCTTATTTTAATGGGACACATTTGTTTGCATTTAGGTGTTAGTTATATCACATATCTATTCATTATTACCACAACAGTATTCACCACATACATTAAATATTTTTTTACATTGTTTTGATTTCCCCTTTAAATATCTGGTGATCTCCTTTCCCACACGGAGGTTTCGCCTGACTTGTTAATCAGCCTGCCGTGGCTCTCTCCTCAGAAGAGACCGCGGCCCATCCTCAATCTATTACCCGCCGCGGACTCTGCTTCCCATGAGCCCGCGGCTGCCTTTTTCCCGCCTCTTTCTCCTCTCCGCCTACTCGCGTCTCTTTTCTGGCGCATTTTTTTCCCGCCCTTTGCGGATGCAATCTAATGCGACGGCTCTTTAATCGCGGAGGCCATCTTCAAACCGCGGTACATTTCCCCGCGGCTCCTGTCTCTTCTGACAGCATCTGTGTGCCGGCAATCAACTGCTTCTCTGTGGGAACATCTGTTGCCTTATTGTGGACAGTAGGTTTTACCATTACTAATTCAGCCTCATTTAACAAGCGCATCTCATTTAAAACGATCAGTATACTGATCTCTGTCTTGTCTGTCTTTGCAGGTTTGCCCCACACAGGACCAACCTGCTACAACCTGGGTGAACCCCTTTCTCTACATTGAATATTTAACATACACTATCACTCATTAAATTTGTGTGGCTGACACCACCTTTATTCTCTGTTGTGGGTGACCCCCACTTACATACTGTTAACACTACTGTTACCACTGATAGCAATATTTGTGTGGCTGACACCACCTGGTTTTATTTTGTGGGTGACCCCCATATTTTCATTGCATATTTTGTTTGCATTATACTGGTGATTTCCACCTTTTTTATTCTCCAGTGGGTGACCCCCACCTCATTGACTAATTGTATATATTGTCTATACTGAAATACTAAGTGGTTGACCACCACCTTTAATTGTTGGATGACCCTCCATTAATTGACCTTTACAATTTATTGTGCCAGATTGTTGAGGGTGACCCCCACTATTTTTACGTCTCGTGTGGGTGACCCCCCACTCTCTAATATTCCAATTGAGTTGCCTCATCTTTAATTGACAATCCTCATTTTTAATTTCTATATATTGAGAAAGATTATGTCGGATCGCCAAGACCCCTTAATTTCTGCTGAACTTAAGGAATGGCTTTTCTCCACTATAGCGTAGTCCATTCCTAAGGCTTTGGCAGCCTACCATGAACATACCACAGAGGTGCACCCCTCTACACAACAACCCTCTGATTCTGAAGATTCCCATATCTCCGACCAAGACAGTGCCCCGCGCAAGAGACCCTGGAAAGGGAATAGCGCTACTGTGGGCAAAGGCAAAGCTCCTGCAAAGGTCATTAAACATTCTCACCCATACATTACGCAGGATGCTGCAGACCCTCTAGAGGGTTCTACTTCACATATGTCTGGCCATATTTTAAGTGACTATGACCCCAACTACTCTGATGAGGATCCCATGGTGAATACGCCCCAGGATTCCTCAACATCAGAGTTCGTATCGGAAACCTTTCCGGGTCAGGATTCCAAGAGTACCCCTCCATCTAAAGTGCCTGACTCAGACACCCTCCTGGATGCCTCAGGCCTTCCCTTTTTTTACCCAAGGGTGATTCGTCACCCGCGCTCAGCAGAATGGGCTCCCCCGGACCATATTGCTAATTTCTGTAAACTGTGGCTTCGCAAGCCCCTCGAAAAGGAAATAAGAAACAAACTAAGGGCTGAATGTCCGAGACCTACTATTCCAGGCAAAGTTGCCTCTACCCCTGAATTCGACACCATGCTGGTCACCTATTTGACGAAATCTGGTAAAGACCCTCGTAAGGGTATTGAGCAGGGCTTGAAAGCGACCCAAGACAAACTATTGGACATTTCAGGTCCTATAATTCAAATATTTATATTAGCAGATGAGGCACTCACTAGCGGTGAACTTGATCCGCACATTATTAGAGAATGCCCTATGCCTATTGGGCAACGCCAATGTGGCCATTTCGATTGAGAGACGCAAAGCAGCTCTTTATAAAATCGATGCCAAATTAGTAGACTTGAGTACTAACGAACTAGGCCCAGAGGCCGATGGTCTACTGTTCGGTAACAGTTTATTGCGAGACCTCTCCAAGCATGTCTCGGTCTTTACCACACTCAATAAAGCCCAGTCCTCCCTACGTAGGGTTTTTCGCTCCCATACTCATCGTTTTTCTGGGAGAGCTGGTCGCTCCAGGGGCCGAGCTACCAGTAGAGCAGCCTTTACAAGCTACGGGCCCCGACCCACAGACTATTGGTCCACAGGATATACACGACCCTACCACAGACAGCTGTTCAGCACCAGAGGTTCGATACGAGGACGTGGCTCTGCATCCCTGCGCGGACGCACTGCTTCAGGTAATGGACCTTGCTTATTTGAAACATGTACCAATCGCAGGTCGATTAACATTCTTTTTCCAACAGTGGAAGCTACTTTCTCAGGATCTATGGATCCTTCATGCGGTCCGAGGTTTCAAAATAGACTTTTTCACACACCCAGTACAACACTCTCCTCCGACATCTTTAGAGATGTCAAAAGCAGACACTCTAACCTTGAACACAGAACTAAACAAATTGTTACACAAAGGGGCGATCGAACCTTCGCCTTTCCCTTGCACCTTCCTCAGCAACATATTTCTCGTTCGGAAAAAGACGTCCCATTATCAACCTCAAGGCATTGAATCGCTTTATCACATACCATCATTTCAAGATGGAAGGTATCCATCTTCTCAGAGACTTGCTCTGCGTGGGAGACTGGTTCTCCAGATTCGACCTCAAGGATGCTTACCTGACGGTCCCAATCGCACCAAGTCATCGTGCCTTCCTCCAATTCCTGTGGTAAGGCGACATTTGGCAGTTCACCTGCCTCCCTTTCGGACTTTGCTCCGCCCCTTGGTGTTTCACCAAGTTCATGAAACCGGTCATGGCGCTCCTTCGTTCTCAGGGCATACGTTCCATTATATATTTAGATGATATCCTGATTATGGCCCAAGACCAACAGTTACTTCGCAAACACACACACATGACCTCTGCCCTCCTTCAAAACCTGGGTTTTGTTATAAATTGCCAGGAATCAAATCTGGAACCATCTCAGATAGTCCAGTTTCTGGGTTTCCAAATAGATTCAGTTCAAGGAACTCTACATTCTGGGTCTCCTATCCACATCAATTCAGGCTATTTTTCCAGGGCCCTTACACTACAGAGCAATGCAACGGCTGAAAACCTCCTACTTACATCGCTCGACCTCATACGATCAATTCATTTCCCTAACGGACGAAATTCTCATCGAACTTCACTGGTGGCTTCGCAATATGGAAGCCTGGAATGGGAAAGCGATTTTCAGATCTCAACCAGATTTTATTCTGCAATCCGATGCCAGCCTCTTAGGTTGGGGTGCTACTTGCACCCAAACATACACAGGGGGTCTCTGGTCCCCATCAGAACAGGCACTTCACATAAATTGTCTCGAGCTCATTGCCGGATCCTTCGCGATCCGCAGCTTTGCCAAGGAAGTCTCCAACTGCTCTCTGGTACTTCGGATGGACAACATCTCCGCAGTACGGTATGTAAACCGACTCGGAGGGTCCAAATCGAAACTACTGTCAGACCTCACCAAGGATCTGTATCAGTTCTGATTAGACAGGAATCTGTCCATTCGGGCAGAATATCTCCCAGGACCCGACAACTTAGTCGCGGATTGGTTTTCACGTCACTGGAGGGATGCCAGCGACTGGCAATTAGATCCTCTCCTATTCCACCGCATTCACCTATTGCGGGGACCCCTCACTCTCGACCTCTTCGCGTCTCGGCTGAATCATCAGACAGACGATTTTTTCAGCTGGTTACCAGACCCTCTATCTCTGGCAGTCGATGCCTTTCTCCAACCTTGGCCACGGTTTCTCAATGATTCAAGGGACCCTCCACCGGGTCAAGTCACAGAGGGTCAGGATTTTGATAGTTACCCCTCTATGGCGGGCCCAGACATGGTTCCCCACTCTTCTGGAACGTTCAACAGACTATCCCTCTACCTCGCTCATATCAGTCCTCACGAACCCAATGGGCGATTACCATCCGCTCGCCTTACAAGGCCATTTTCAACTGGTAGCTTGGACAGTTTCAGGGGAGCTTGGCATGTCGCAGGACTTTCAAGCACTGCTCAAACACTCCTGTTGGATTCATGGGCTCCAGGGACCAGACGAACCTACCTCTCCGCATGGCGAATTTGGGTCAGCTGGTGTCTGGGGAGGGATTTCGATCCCGTTTCAGCATCTCTTTTTCATCCATTCTAAATTTTTTATCATCTCTTTTCGATCAGGGGAAATCATACCGATCGATTAATATTTTTCGTTCCGCCATTTCGGCAGGCCATGACACTATTGACAATTCCTTGGTTGGGAAACACCCTTCCGTGTGCATTCGTTTTACGAGGCCACCCTCTGCCAAATACTCTAGGTTTTGGGATATATCTCGAGTCTTCGCGCTGTTGGAGTCCTGGCCTCCTAACGAGGCCTTATCCCTTCGACAACTCTCCGCGAAACTAGCCCTGCTACTGTGTCTGGTGTCCTTCCGCAGAGTTTCTGACGTTTAAGCCTTTGACTCACACGCTGTCACCTTCGCACCAGATGGTGTCAGATATACCATTACTAGGCACACTAAGACAAATTCCTCGTCGGTTTTTTACCCGTACTTTCCCGACAGTCCGGCTCTCTGTGTGGCTCTGTGTAGCCGTTGTTACACTGAGAACACTGCCGCTCTACGTTCCCCTACCGGGCCCCTTTTCGTCTCTTACTTTAGACCTCACAAACCAGTCTCTTCCCCCACTATCGCTCGCTGGATAAGATGGTTGCTTACCCAATCAGGAATTGATAGATCATTCAGAGCCGTTAGGGGGTGGCTGCATCCTCTGCCTTTCGTGCCGGCAGTTCACTGGCGGATATTTTGGCCTGCGCAGATTGGTCAAGGGAATCTACCTTTCGAGCCTTTTATTTTAAACCAACACCACTCGCAGCTTGTTCTATTATTCAAGAACGTTAAAACAGCAAATATGAAGCCTCCTGTCTTGCCATAAAATTAGGGATTATTCTAGCTTTCAGTGAACGAATAATCTAAATTTTATTAAAGACAGGAGGCGAATATTTTCCCTCCCTTCGTTCACTCTGGAACCCACCCTCAAGGTAAGTCTTCTGATCCATGCTTAATGTATGATACCGTCTCTTGCATCTAAATTTGCAAATATACGATTTGTTAGACTAGTAGATATGAACCTACATCACAGGGTACTGACATGTCCTTTTTTAACTCTGCCGGATAATCTGAGCTATAGTTAGAAGTAGGGGGTATAACTATATTTTTCTCTTGTCCAACAAACCTTACTTTCACGAGGTCTCTCTTCTTCTCTTTTAGTGTGAAGATCTCAGGTTATTTCGATCAACTTCACGTTTACATGGTTGACTTCATTTCGAGTTACAGCCTCGGAAAACGTTCAAGTTTACATTGCTACTGACCGGCATCACCAAGAAAGAGGAAGTGGGAGGAGTCTGATGACACTATATTGTAGCTGTAATGTGTTATGATTGGTTGAATTTTCATACAACATTGTTAACTGTTTCTTTGCTGCTGGGAGTTACAGTAAAGAAAGATAAGCAAATATTCGCCTCCTGTCTTTAATAAAATTTAGATTATTCGTTCACTGAAAGATAGAATAATCCCTAATTCTTGGCAAACCAGACTTGCCAAACGTCCCACTTTCTGTACTATGACAGCAGAATGTATGCTTCAGTTGATGAGACACAATGAAATGCTGCAGCAAGGGAGGAGAAATAAACTCTACCTGGCTGCCGTAACTCGTTCTAGGAGAAGAGTAATGCCGCTGGTGCTGCGCTATGACCCAGCCGGGCCTCACCCTAGCGTTGCCGTGAGTCCGTGACTCCGCCTCCGCGTGATGTCACGGAACACACGTACGCTACAGAGGAGGTCTGAAGAGGGAGCAAGTCCGTCCTACTGCTGATGAAAGGGTTATTATTAATACTATGTACTAATGTTTACAGTGCTAGAATAAAGATTAAGGCAGGGCAGCCCTTTGAGGTATCATTTGATATAAAAAAAAAAAAAGGAAGCAGACATAAAATCAGGGGACAGTATTCTAACTGCAGTTTGGGAATACAGGGCAAGAAACACCTACAGGAAGTGGAAATATGAATTTATGAACCACAGTCACTATGTACTCCCAATTAATGCAGTCAAAACACTTGTTCAGCATCAAATGCATCTAACATCTCTGGGGAAATAGTACCAGCACATGCAATGTGATCAAATAGGGCTTTAAGATGCAGAGGAAGAATCTCAGTGTATTTAGTGTAGTAAATATGAGAAAAACCATCAAATCCTGGTGCCTTGTATGTAGGTAACCATTTATTAATATGAAGAACTTCTCCCTCTGAGAAGGGTAATCCAATGAATTAACTTGTACCTGCAATAAAAAGAGTGAATTGCTTTCTAGAAAGTGGTTGATATTAGATATATTAGGAACTCCACATTTAATATGCTGTGGTAGATTATGTAAGGATTTATAAAATGACTCTAACTCATTGACTTCTTGGAGGGGGTTAGTTACCTTAACACCATGTTAAGAGGACAGGTATGACATTTTAGCTTGAACATATTTGTTTGTTTTTTTAATTTAGAGGCTAGCAAATTGACTGCTCTGTTTCTCTTGTAATAATAAGTATGTTTCGATTTGCAGATTTATCATTCAGTTGTGTGGAGTTGTTGCTTTTCCAGTTCACATCTAGTGTTGGAATTCTGGGTCTAAAGGGAAATTGGTGGTGATGATTTTTTGTGATCCTCTGAAGAGGTCAAGGACGGGAGGAGCACCCTGATTCTTTAATGATAATAATCAAATGCTCTCTTACTGCTGCATTGTGTGCCAACCACGAAGTGGAAACAGATGTGTTTCCATACGGCCTATTTGGAAAAGAAAACCTTAATTTCATGCACAACTGGAGAAAAGTGGTTTTTACAGAGGTACTGGCATCCTTTTACCGCTAACTGTAAATAAAGTAGTAAATTCCATGCTAACTAGAGCATGGTCAGACAACAAAATAGGTCCAATGCTAACCTTCTTCACAGTGGGTAACACTGTGTGGTCTACCAAACACATATCAATCTTAGTAAGTGCAATGTACTTGGAAGAATAGGAATAATCACGAGGAGAAGTGTATAATGATCTCCACATATATATCCACTATAAGTTGCACCTTTGCAATAATTGGGAAAACTTTAAGCTTTTTGCCCATGTATTTTATGAAGGAATTATGAACCTTACAGTCTTAACATCCAGAGAGGGATCTAAGGCACAATTAAAGTCCCCACAAATCCATTATTGACCCTTTTTACATGTCATCATTGTTACACTAGTGTCATTCTAATTTCCTTCCACTATACGTATCTTGAATTCCTTGCCAGAAAAGTGTTTGGAACCGTTCAAAATCAATCTTTATGGAACAATATTGATATACCTTTGGATTTCAATAGGGAATACAAATTAAAATAGGGTAAGGTCTCATAGCAGTGCCCAAAGCCTGCATCCCCTTGAGAGCAAATCTTTGATTATGAGGGGTATGAAGTCCCTTTACATTACAATGGAAACAAACTATCCATAGTATCCATTTAGGTCCGTCTCAGGAGGAAATGGACTATGAAACAGAGAAATTACTGGGGAGGAATCCAAAGAGGAGAAGAAGCAGTCCACTATTCTGCACCTACCATGCACCCTGCAGTTTGTCTAAGTCTATCTCGTTTAATGAAAACGGATGAAGCATCATCGCCTAGTAGTTCACCCAGTGACATTATTGTTAACACATCACTACATCCCTTCCAATTACCATTAATCAACTAAGTTCTAGTGTAGAGGTTAGTGTAGAGACAGCGTCTACTGCCACCAGTGCAAATACATGCACATTTTCAGCAGGTTGAGGCTATAGCGTTGAAGGAAAGTTTGGTAATAGTTTGACAACATTCCAATTGCAAAGGGTAAATTGTGCAGCAAGAAAGTGAGTAGTGGAGAGTGCCGATATGAACCAACATTTGCAAAGACACCGTAAGTCTGTATTACTACTGAGCGAAGAAGCAGAAAGAGAAAGTATTAGGGCAGACAGCAGGTCCACTGGGACTGTATCTGATAGTATGTAACTACCCCCATTGGTACCTCCTCTACTACTTAGGTAAAGCAAGGGGTATGTTAAATCTAGTGCCACTAAATGACTGGCACAGACCGACTCGCAGTCCACATCATCCTAGGGACATGTGCCCCAGCCCATTCTGAATTGCATGCCAGGGACATGTCATAACAGCAGATTAACAAAATCACAAACCTGATTGCCCAGTTGATCGCTTTAGTGGGAGCTTCATTTTTCATGATGGAAGGGGAGCCTTTTAAACATAAGAAATGCATGTGGCTGCTGGCCACAGGATTTGATGTGTTGGAGGGGCATAAACATTAAAAAGCAAAACACTGTACTTTGAAAACTCTACCTAGTTCCTTACACTATAGTGTTTTAGTCCTGATTTATATTACCCCCCCACCCCCCCAGCTGCTGTAAAAATCTTATTGATATGCAATGTGAAGTTGCTATGCAACTTTCAACATGCTTGTAGTGTCTGGATTGTCATAAAGTGTGCTCCACTAAATAAAACATAATGTAGATATTTTATGAATCGATTGGATATTCTATAAATGAATGGGTTGGTGAGATGAAATGTAGTTTTGAGGAAGTTTAATTGTGCAGACGGTATCACCCATCACATTGAGCTTTGTTATAGATAAACATAATAGTGTATTGTAGCTGTTTCTTTAAGGTAACAGTGACGCACTCACTTCTCTATATATGGCATTTTGGATATTGGAATTGATTTTATGTTTTTAGATTTCATAGTGTGGAATAAAGGGGGAATTTCTTAAAAGGTTTTGTTAGCTGAACAAATAAGCAAAATATAGGAAATTGGGGATTAAATGTAAGATTTTAAATATAAACAGACATGTGAATTCCATTTCAGAAGAATTGCAAAATGATCGAAAGTTATAGTTTTCGGTCATTTAGTTAGATAAAGAAAGCAAAACTGCAGTTCTGTGAATGTCAGAATAACCAAATAGCTCAGTGACATAATTGTTCAGTCAACATTTGGTAACTTTGTTAATTGCAGGTGCAGCATGAAATTCATGCAAAGTGCAGCAAATATGATGTGCGGAGAGTGCATTTTTTAACCAATCAGACCAATTTTGAACTTTTTACTGACAAGCTCTTATTCCCTGTTGTGTTGCTGCTTAGAGTGAGACAGCGTGATCTGAGCAGTGAGCAAACAGGCACACAGTGTGTTGGTTTGGATTGCAGTCTTTAGTTAGCACACAATCAAGGTAGGAGTAATATTGTGAGATGTCAATTTAAGTTAAAAGGGTGCCTGCTTAGCCTGGTAAAGCTGCAGTTTATTTTTTTTATTTTGCATGGATAGTAAAAATAGAGAAAGTAAAATTAAGTAGATTTAAAAAAAAAGAAAAATTAGTTCGCAGAATTATTGTATATACACTGCCTGGCCAAAAAAAAGGTTGCCACCAAAAAAAAAGGTCACACACTCTAATATTTTGTTGGACCGCCTTTAGCTTTGATTATGGCACACATTCGCTGTGGCATTGTTTCGATACGCTTCTGCAATGTCACAAGATTTATTTCCGTCCAGTGTTGCATTCATTTTTCACCAAGATCTTGTATTGATGATGGGAGAGTCGGACCACTGAGCAAAGCCTTTTCCAGCACATCCCAAAGATTATTAATGGGGTTAAGGTTTGGACTCTGTGGTGGCCAATCCATGTGTGAAAATGATGTCTCGTGCTCACTGTACCAGTCTTTCACAATTTGAGCCCGATGCATCCTGGCATTATCATCTTGGAATATGCCCGTGCCATCAGGGAAGAAAAAATCCATTGATGGAATAACCTGGTCAGTAGATTCAGGTAGTCAGCTGACCTCATTTTTTGGGCACATAATTTTGCTGAACCTAGACCTGACAAAATGCAGCAACCCCAGATCATAGCACTGCCCCCACAGGCTTGTACAGTAGGCACTAGGCATGATGAGTGCATCACTTCATCTGCCTCTCTTCTTACCCTGATGCACCCATCAGTCTGAAACAGGGTGAATCTGGACTCATCAGACCGCATGACATTCTTCCATTGCTCCAGAGTCCAATCTTTATGCTCCCTAGCAAATAAAGCCTTTTTTTCTGATTAGCCTCACTGATTAGTGGTTTTTTTTAGGCTACACAGCTGTTCAGTCTCAATCCCTTGTGTTCCCTTCGCATTGTGTGTGTGGAAATGTTCTTACTTTCACTATTAAACATAGCCCTGAGTTCTACGATCTGATTTCACCAAACGTTTAAGTGATCGCTGATCACGATCACTCAGGATTTTTTTCCGACCACATTTCTTCCTCAAAGACATTGGTTCCCCACTATCCTTCCAGTACCCACTATCCAATAATGCATTGATCCCAATTTTAGTAGTTTCTGCAATCTCCTTAGATGTTTTCTCTGCTTGATGCATGCCATTGATTTGACCCTTCTCAAACAGACTAACCTCTTTTCCATGACCACTTGATGTGTCTTTCAACAGGGTTGTTTAAGAAACGAGTAGCTACTCATTGCATCAATTAGGGTTAAATTACTTGTTGCCAACTGAAAGATAATTGCCCATGCAGTAACTATCCAATAGGAGGCTCTTACCTATTTGCCTAGTTAAATCCAGGTGGTGACTTTTTTGGGGGCCAGGCAGTATATTTTACTTTATTCAGGGCACCTGATTTTTCTTTGTGTTTACATTTAAGCTAGTTGTTGTTTTTGTGTGTCAAAAATTTCCCAATTCCTCTCCCAACTCGGTAATAAAGTTTAATAAAGTAATTAGCAGACCAGTAGCTCCACAAGAATGCACTCAAATATGTTTTTCAAGTAGAAGGCTGTGAAGGTGATTGATTTTGCAAAAGATGATGACGAGCCTGAGCCATTTCCTTCCACCTCTGCAGTGTCTTCAGAGTAGCAGCAGTGGCAGCACTAATGGGCTGACTTGACAGCAATGCCATGTCTTGCACACCACCTAGTAAGAAGAAAACAATGCCTTTATATATATATTGTGAGTTCTACTAAAAAACTAAAAGAGAAAGGTAGTAGTATCATAAGTAGTATGCATAGTTTGATAGAGGCAGCTGTTACTCACTGACATCCTGTAACCACAAATGTCAAAACCAGTAGTACTGAGAAAAGAACAAGCACATTAAGAAGTAATTACCATTACCCAACCCTTTATCAATTTTGTACTGTACATTTCAAGGGCATGTCAAAACAGCAGTCAATAAAGTGGCAAATTGAGACCATCTTACTGCTATTGGGGGAGCTTCTTTTGCCCTAGTACTATTCTATCCTTTCACGTAACTTATACAGAGTCTATCTTGCAATTTAAATCTGGCTTCTAGCACAAAATTTGGCAAGTCATAACCTCTCTGTAATGCTCATATATACCAGTTTTAAAGAAGGAGCTATCTAAGGAACACATAATGCGTGTGCACTACATTGTATGGTCCCTAGCACACAGCATACTCTCTTGTCTCTGATGGTACATTGGTGGCAGCCAAATGTCCCCTGTGCTGCAGCAGGCCCATGAGCAGTGGCAGTGCAGGGTTCAGAATTGTTCTGCTACATGCAGAGGTTATGGATCAACAGCACAGCTCATCTAATATTCTGGCAGCTCTTTGAATTATGCTAGAAAAGTGGCTTGGGCACACAGCAGGCACAGCAGCACACAAAGGCTTAGTGATGGGGAAGACAATATGTTGAAAGCTATCAGATATGGGGACTTTATCAGTATGCATTGCACAGCCAATATTTTACATCTGGTGGTGAGAAATGCACTTCACACTGATGCAGAGATTGGTAGATTGTGCAGCCTAATATAGGGATGTTTAGAGATTGCTGGACACTTCTGTTGCAGTGTAACGGTAGTCGAAAGTTGAGGGAGCATTACGAAAAACAAGCAGGTTTGCCTTAGCATCATCGTCTCCAAGAAATTGTGATACTGTGGAACTCCACTTTGGAGATGATGGTAAAAATCTTCAAGTAGCAGAGAGCAATACATTTCCTATCATTAGGAAGGAGCATGGGAGTAGAATGTACCCAAGGAGAGAGGCATGAGGAGCTATAGCTAAGGCTGTGGCAGTCCTTAACCCCGTAAGGACACAACTTCTGGAATAAAAGGGAATCATGACAGAATATTTCTATCATGTGTCCTTAAGGGGTTAAGGACACAGCCAATTGTACAAGTTGTGATCAAAACAAAACCTGGAATTTGCGCCATATGTGGTTCAACCATAATTCACCTCTTTCATATTAAGTTCACCCACACTTATTATATATAATTTTCTTCAGGAGAAACATGATTTTCATTCCATATCAAATATTTATATACAAAACATAATTTATTATGAATAAAATCTAAAAAAGTATGAGAAATTAAGAATTTTTTTTTTTGAGTTGCGCATGGCATTTTAACTGTGGATGTCTAAATACTGTTGTATTTCACTGAAATAAAATATACATATTTGTATTCAAAAATGTCTCACGAGTACAACAATACTCCCAATGTACAAGTTTTCTTGTAGATTGGGAGGTCAAATGTAGGGCTTTCCCCTTTTCCATGTTTGCACATTGAAATTTGCCAGACTGCTTTGCTGGGCCTATGTTGCCTTTGAGACCGTATGGCAGCCCAGGAATGAAAATTAACCCATCATGGCATCACGGGCGTTTTAGCCGCGAGACAAACAAGGCATTTGCCTTGGGCGGCATTTTCCAGGGGGCGGCAAAAAAACGCCACCGCCCAAATGCCCAGGGCAAATGCCTTGTTAGCCTTGCGGCTAACTGACATGCCGAGCAGGCGGGCGGGCAGCTGGCGAGGGAGCACTTCCTCTGAGCTGTCTGCTCAGCTCCCTCACGCGCCGCAGAGTGAGGCTGGGAGCCGGTACATGACGTCATATTCCGGCTCCAAGCCTCACTCTGAGGCACGCGAGGGATCTGAGCAGACCGCTCAGAGAAAGAGCTCCCTCGCCAGCCGCCCGCCCAGCAGCCACTGGACCACCAGGGAGAAAGAGGAACCAGCATTCCCAAAGGTAAGGAGGCTGGGTTAAAAAAAAAAATGTGTTAATGTGAGTGTGTGAGTGTGTCTGTTAGTGTGTGTGTGAGTGTGTCTGTTAGTGTGTGTGTGAGTGTGAGTGTGTCTGTTAGTGTGTGTGTGTCTGTTAGTGAGTGTGTCTGTTAGTGAGTGTGTGTGTGTCTGACTGTTAGTGTGTGTGTATGACTGTTAGTGTGAGTGTGTTTGCCTGTGAGTGTGTGTGTCAGTGAGTGTTTGTGTCTGCTAGTGTGTGTCTGCTAGTGAGTGTGTGTGTCTGCTAGTGAGTGAGTGTGTTTATGTGTGTGTGTCTGACTGTGTGTGTATGTTTGCCTGTGAGTGTGTGTGCCAGTGAGTGTGTGTGTGTCTGCTAGTGAGTGAGTGAGTGTCTGTGTGTGTCAGTGAGTTTGTGTTTCTGTTAGCTAGAGTATTCGTATCTGTCAGAGAGTGTGTGTGTGTGTGTATTTAGTAGGCGGGGCGGGGGGGGAAGGGATGGGTGGGGGTCGCGCGTGTGGGGAGGTTGGGGGGGTTTGGGGGGCACCTGAGTTTTGTCCTGCCTAGGGCAGCACAAAACCAGGATACACCACTGCATGGCATACCATTTGTAAATGTAGACAACCCACGGTATTCAAAATGGGGTATGTACAGTCTTTTTTAGTCACAAACCCTGGCTAAAATGAGCTTTTATATTATTTTTTTGCATTTTTTTTTACAGAAAACCTTTCACAAATAAACTGCCATTTCACAGATGATATCAGTATAATACATTTTACTGCTCTAAAACACTCATTTGTGTAGAGTAATGTCTCGTGAGTACAACACTACCCTTCAACTACAGGTTTTATCGTGATTTGGGAAGTTACAGGGTCAAACAATTTCTGTTTTTGTAAATTGCTATTTGCCAAATTGGCTATGTTGCCTTTGAGGTTGTATGGCAGCCCAAAAATGAAAATTGACCCCACCATGACATACCATTTGAAAAAGTAGACAACCCAGGGTATTCAAAATGGGGTATGTCCAGTCTTTTCTAGTAGCCACTTAGTCACAAAAGCTTGCCAAAGTTAGCATTAATTTATTTTTTTGAATTTTTTACACAAAAACTGCACTTTTACTGGTGATATAATTGTTGTGATTTGTTTTGCTGTTTGAAAACCTCATATTTATATTCAGCGAAGTCCCCCAAGTATAACAATACCATCCATGTACAGGTTTTATAGTGTTTTGGAAAGTTACAGGGTCAATATAGGACTTGCCCATTTCTGTTTGCCAGATTGGTTTGCTGGGTCTATGTTGCATTTTGAGACCATATGGTAGCCCAGGAATGTGAATTAACCCCATCATGGCATACCATTGTCAAATGTAGACAACCTAAGATATTTAGAATGGGGTATTTCCAGTCTTTTGTAGTAGCCACTTAGTCACAAACGCTGGTAAAAGTTAGCGTTTTTATTTGATTTTTGTAATTTTTAAAAACAAAAACGGCACTTTTACTTTTTAAAACACTCATATTTGTGTTCAGCGAAGTCTCCCAAATATAACAATACCCCCGATGTAAAGGTTTTATAGTGTTTTGGAAAGTTACAGGATTAAATATAGGGCTCGACAATTAAATTCACTGGACTGTCTTAAATTTCCAATCCACTCCACTAAGATCCTACAGGAGAAAATAATAATATATAACAAAATAACTTTATTAGCAATTTTTTTACTAGGACAAATTAAACAGTGTAGCCTGATAGGAGGGGGAACATCTCTGAGTGAGATGCTCAATAATAGTCAATAATAAAGCATACCACATTAATTCCAAACGGGTATGGATTGGCAGTACGAGAACTAACTGAAGAGGTAGCAATCTCCCTCTTTATGTGTTTAAGCCCTCATGCAAGTATATACAGCACTGGTTACGACAGAGCCTAGTGTGATCTTCCAGAAGCAAAAACTAAAACGTAAAAGGAATAGTGAGAGATATGCTAAATGGTGAGAAAAAAAGCACACAGGAAAAAATATATAAAATTAAGGGTATATACAGAGAGATAGGTAATAGGGATATAACCAATTAAATCCACCTCTCTAGGGTTACTAGAGGTCTATGGTAAGGGTATCCCTAGTCTCTAGACCTTCAGTCTCGTGTAAACACCTTCATGGATATTCTATGCTTTAATTTAGTTTAGGAAAAAAATGGATTAGAAATTTAACCTTGTGGCTCTCTATTCAAGTGACACCTTTGCTTCTCTACTATTTATTGTATTCCCTAGGGTTATCCCCTACTTTTCCAGTCTAGGTGACCTTTTTTTTTGTGGGTTAGGTACGGGACGAGGGTGTGACACTAAACCCCTATCCTTGACCGCTCCCCTTCTTTTCTTTCTCTGGACTGTCTGCCTCGGTTGTCAGACGGGTCCCTCAAATTATAATTCAGAAAATCTAATAATCATGTAAAATTAATAGTTAAATATATATGTAGAATGTATGTATGTATATATATATATATATATATATATATATATATATATGTGTGTGTGTGTGTGTATATATATATATATATATATATATATATATATAAAAAAACAGAAATCCCCTGCACTCACGTCCAAAATGCCTCACCGCCGGGCGCAAACACCAGGGCTCCACGTAACACAAATCCCAAAATGGCAATGGCTGCTCTCCGGTCTTAGAAAAAAGTTTATTAAATCACATTAAAAACAATGACCAATGTTTCAGTCCCCGCTCAGGACTTTCCTCAGGGTCAAGGACAACGGTTGTTCTGTTTTTCCTTGACCCTGAGGAAAGTCCCGAGTGGGGACTGAAACGTTGGTCATTGTTTTTACTGTGATTTAATAAACTTTTTTCTAAGACCGGAGAGCAGCCATTGCCATTTTGGGATTTATATACTGTATGTGGAAAAACAGATACAATTTGTAGCTTGTAATACCTTTTTTATTGGACCAACAGAATTTTTTAATGACAAGCTTTTGGGGGAACCTCCCTTTCTCAAGTCTAAAGTATTTCTGATCAAGACGACTGTAAGGAAGTATATTTAAACCTCATTCGGTAGTTTCCTCCCAAACCGCCAGAGCATCAGTGATTATAGCTCTCCGTTCGGTAGATAAAGTAGATGAACCATATAGTAATCCCAATAGCTTCATAAGATAATTCCCTTAGTGAAACACACAAATCCACAAACATTAGCCGAAGTCAAGAAGAAGGGTACAACTGAACTGAGCTTTAATGATTGCACACAGGCTTTTATGCAAGTCCCCATGCAAGGGGACATCCCCCAGGGAGGGACAAAGATTAACCAATCGGGCACAGTAAAAACATAACACACACCCACAATTCCCTACCCCTAGCCTTGGAGATAATCAAGTCTGATAAAGTATAATAACTTGATTATCTCCAGGCAGAAAAATCACATTTTCCCCCAATATCTGGAACACCCCTTTATACTTGAGGTATCCCCACAAATAATATGTCCCCTGATAGCCCCGATCTGGGTGACCAACATATTCAAATTTCACCCAGATCGGTTCAGGGGTTCTCAAAAACTGTGGAAGTCTTCTGTGACCGGCTCACCATGGGCTGGCTGCCCAAAACAGTTCCATGAGTTTGGTGGGTTTTGACGGTCACTTTGGTAAAAGGGAAAAGGCGAATAAAGTACCGAATGGATCCCCCTGGCTCTCAGCAGCGATTGTTCACCTCTGTCGAATGTACCAAATAGCGCTCTTCTAGCTATTCGGGAATTAGAGTTCCAGCGTTTGTCTGTTTGAGACCGGTGTTCGGGAAGTAGTGTCCGATTTTAGTTCCAGACACTCGACGACCAAGTCTCGCAGCCTTTGTTCGGCTTAAAAAAGATGGCTGCGGTTTTCTCAGCCACGTGGCGTTCGGTAGTACGAACGCTGGCCGCATAGATAGAGGAGTTGATTGACGATTCCTTTGAAGCTTAATGAGCCAGGGGGTGGTCTTTGTTCGGTAGTTCAATCTACCAAATTAATAAAGGTAAAATGAGATGAATAACTGGTGAATAAATAGGGATTTCTTCACAACAACACATACAATTCAAAGTAGAGTTGTGATACAGGAGTTAAAGCGACATGAGTGCAGTTAACACATGGTTTTGATAGAAAATAGACACCATTCTCGCAGAGGGTTGTAAATACCCTGTGTGAAGATCACAGAGTGAGTGGGGAGAGAAAGAAAGAAAGAAAACAAGCAAACAGTGCAGAAGTTGGTGCTAGAAGGGGAGAGTAAAAACAAAATAATTACTTATATTAAGAATGCATGAATTCCCATCCAAGAGCTACAGGATATGCATGAAGGCCTATATCCAGTATGTGTATGTATATATATATATATAAATATATATACACACACACACTCACACATGTACATATACACATACACAAGTAGTGTATATGTACACGAATACACAAGCACATACACAATATACACAAGTACATACAAAAATGTATATATATTGTGACCTTTATGGGCAAAGCAACACAGTCCTCTAGGGTAACAGGTATAGAACAACAGTCTCTTATGCAAAAATGGTGTGGTTTATTTACATCGTGCACAAAAATCCATGCAGCAATCAGTTTGTTCAAAACTTTAGCAAAACAGAAAGGAAAGTCTACAAACAAAATCCTAGCTCAAATTCGAGCACTAACTAAACATAAAGTAATGTCCCTTACTAAACCAGGGTAATAAACTACACAAATCAACAAAATAAACATTGGTTTCACCAACCTTTAGCACTTTGGTGCTGCTCTGCACAGACCTGCTCTCTCTGCAGGTCATATTGTATCTCCTCCTTTCTGCTCTGAGACCTGCTAATTAAAGCCTCAGCAGTTGCTAATTGGGCAGGTGAATGAGTACAGGCTATGGAGGATTCTGGGTCCTAAATACCTTCCTTCTATTACCCTCCCATAGACTCTGTCACAATATATATATTTATTTGTGTAAGGGGCAAATAGCGTATATGGAGTAAGTTTCCAGCATAAGCGTAGGATAGTATAAAGGGAGCAAGTCGGTTGTGGTGTGTCGAGACCGACGATACGGTAGGCCTGTAAATAAAGAGGGCCCACCAAGGAGTAAGAGAGTAAAGTAAATGGAAAGAAAAGAGAAAGTGTTGAAATGAGGAGTGGGTAGGAGGGTCATTCTGATGCTGACCTCAAGTGATATGGAGTCAGGTAAGGGGTGTCCCTTACATAGGGGAGTAAATTAATTTAAGCCCCTCCCACAAATACAGGCCAAACGGCCTTAATACTTGTGTAAGGGGCAAATAGCCGTATATGGAGTAAGGTTCCAGCATAAGCGTAGGATAGTATAAAGGGAGCAAGTCGGTTGTGGTGTGCCGAGACCGACGATACGGTAGGCCTGTAAATAAAGAGGGCCCACCAAGGAGTAAGAAAGTAAAGTAAATGGAAAGAAAAGAGAAAGTGTTGAAATGAGGAGTGAGTGGGAGGGTCATTCTGATGCTGACCTCAAGCAATATGGAGTCAGATAAGGGGTGTCCCTTATATAGGGGAGTGAATTAATTCAAGCCCCTCCCACAAGTACAGGCCAAACGGCCTTAATACTTGTGTAAGGGGCAAATAGCCGTATATGGAGTAAGGTTCCAGCATAAGCTGTGGGGATATTTATGGGATAATAATAGTAACAGTTGAGAATTGCCCACTATTTCAATTCTCAGATCCCAAAGAACGTTTATCGTGTTAAGTGGAATGTATTTCATATAATAATATCACAATGTATAAAAATAGATTTTATTTATATGACAAATTAATTAATAATAACATGTAACATGCATGACAATAATCAATGAATATCCAGTATAAAATGGTATGCAATACAAAGGAATGGCTATATACGTTTCAATGGCTTAAACAGCATTAGCTGTCAAGACTTTGACGATTTATGACTCTTTCCTTAACACAGAGAGAAAGCGAAACTTTTCACAGCAGCGAAGGGCCATAAAACCCTGGCTAACAGTTAGAATAACCCTTTCAATGCTGGCTAGATCTCCTAGGTAGTTAAGATCTATTCTTATGTAATTTTAAATAAAATAACATTTAAACCAGTTCATTAGTCATTTCCTGGAACCATCCAATAAGAGAATCTACCATATTTATATAAGCAGATTTTAATTTGTCTAAAACATATCTTATCTTAATTTAGAGCAAATCAATACACCTGGATAAAAACAGCGGTATGCTAACACGTGATAATATCACATCAATATATAATTATTCTTAATTCCACCTGCAGAATGGAATGTTTATAACTATATATTTTTAGTTAACTAAGATTTCTTAATATGGAAATCTGACCGTGCTTTATCCAGTCATATATAATGCTATTAATACATTTTAATTAATTTAATTAATTAAATGAAACCAGTATAATTACCAGTTGAGTAGATATTTCATCCGATTGGTAGTCTCAGGAATTTATTTGGATGTCTCTCTGCATGGAGGTTGGAGTCCCCAACTTCCAATTCCTCTCTCCTCTTTTTCTTTGCATATCTCTTGCATCTGCATATCTCTATCTTCCCTTTGTCTTAACTTTTAAAGGGCCAGACTCTCTGTACGTCATGAGTTGATAACCACACCTCTAGTGCTTCTATTGGGTTATCTTCCAGATCGCAAATTAGTTATTTGGTCTATAGAGGGCAGTCTTGTCCCACTAAACATACCTATCCAGGAAAGAGTTAACTTTTCCTGGTGGCTATTTTGACATCATTTTGCTTATCTTTATAGTGCCATAATTTAAAATTTCAAAGGGTTTCTTAAATTTTGTCCAGACTTAGCGTTTGCAATTCCTGCCATAATTTCTGATATGACAGATCATGAACTAAGTTTACCCTTTTCCATACAATGGTACCTTATATATATAGACAGTTAAATATTAAATTATTTAATCTTCTCTGTCACAATTGTCTGGGTTTAGATTTGATTATATTCCTCTTATCACTTGTTTATACTATGCTATGCATTTTAGCTCTGACAAAGTGGCTAGTCTTACAGAAAGAAATCTTGTGTCTTTTTTTTTTTTTGTTAACTTGGAATAACAAAATGGAGTCTGGTCTGTTCAGAGTGACTTAGAATATACACTTTTAGTTTCTATCATAGCACAAGATGTCTGCCGATATAAATACCCTGACATAACCCCCCTTTAGTGCATTTCATAGCCAAAATTAATTTAGCTTATGAATAAGCACTATAGAAGTTACCAGACATATTGTGCAATCACATCATTTCTAACCTAGGGCCGTGCGTGGAATGAACATTTTTGTATATATTTGTACCTGTAAAAGTTTTGAACTTTACACTTAGTACAATCAACCATAATATCATTATTACATAGTACATTGTTTTCATTTGAAAAATGTCTTTGAGAGTTACATATGGTATGGCCAATAAAAAGCAAATCTCCATACGTTCCGGGTCAATTAAGAGAGGTATAGCGCTCCCCATCTCAAAGGCCAGATTTAATTGCATAGGCTCAATTGACTCTCCATCCACATTGGCAAGCATCGCATGAACAATATCCTTGGATACAAAATACAGAGGTATGCGTCCCCCTGCCAATTCGATCATTCCAATTTGCACTTCGTCAAGAAAAGCAAGTGTGTGGAACAATATTGGGTCATGCAGAAATAGAAGTTCACGCTTAAATAAGTCATGACTTTGGTGCAGCTCAGTGGATTTGGCAATTAACTCCGAATGCAAATTTGTTGTAACAACTGTGTCTTCCACAATAGTTAGCACGTCTTGGATAAGTGTTCTTTGCTGGTTTATCACCTGATGAATATCGTTAATGTGTTGCTTTAGTGCATAGATTTCCATATCCAGCTTT